TGCTTTTTAAAATACTACTTTGTACAGAAAATATATATTTTAATACAAACATTAGTGATAGTCCATCCACCAAGGCCTCACTCGTGCAGATTTTTCTTTTCTATCAAGGGATGCATTTCCTCAGGATGCTGATACTAATCTGCTGGGTTTCAAATTCTAAAGGAGGCAAGACCTCACTTTTCTATCTTTGTGCAGAAGATAACTGATGTTAGGCTGAAGGCCAACAGAGCAACTGATCACCCTCTTGAGGGTAGGTATTGCATGCAACATAAGTGACCACACACAAAGAAATTGATTTAGGGCACAGACCCTTTTAGCAAGTTCATTTTAAGATAATAGATTTGGAAGCCTGAATTCGACTACACCATTCCATTCATTTTTATTTGCAACCTGCATGTTTCATTTGCTACTTTCAGTGGGTTCTAATAAAGGCAACATGAGGGTTTGTGTTTTAACTTTTGACTAACAATTACCCTTTTGCCCACCCCCACAGATTTGGGGGAAATGTTTATTTGTATCCTGCTTTTCTTCCAAAATTGGGACTCAACATGGCTCAAGATATGATTTAAAAATACAGCTACAACTGAAACATTCAATGCCATTTGTTATTGAGAAGATTTTGGAACTAGCAGAAATGAATTATTTTGACAGATACACTAGACTGGATAACAATAAATGGGAACCTCTTTATACCTGGATGAAACCTACACCGATTTAAGTAGAATAGATTAGATTAATATGTTATAGAGTATAAGACAAAATGAAATGAATGGAACATACTGTAATAAATCACTCTGGTTGCAACAGATAGAAAAGTAGAAAAAAACAAGAAAATATTTATTAAAAAAATTAAAAATAAAAAGAAACATTCAATGCCATTTGCCATCAAGTCACTTCAGGCTTATGGTAGCCCTAGGAATTAGTGACCTCCAAAAGCTCCTATCGTTAATACATCTGCTCAGGTGTGGTAAACAAAAAAAATCATACTTTATTGAGTTAATCCATTCCATGTTTTCTTTTTCTACCACCTTCAATTTTTCCCAATATTATCTCCTCTCCACCCAGAGTCTTCTCATGATACTCTGCTCACTAAGCCACACTGGCTACCCATTGTGATTCAATCTAGTGTCCACTTACTTCTCTTTCTTGTGTTCCTTGGTATCCATAGAGTGCTCCCTCAATGTAGCATTTCAAATTAATTGGGCTTTTTCCTGTCTGCTTCCTCTACTACCCTGCTTCCCCATCTGTATATTGTAACAAAAAAAATTTTGGCCTTGGTTTCCAGCAACCCATTCTCATGCCAGATTCTTTCCTGGTTATTTCACAGTTCCCCTGCCAAGTCACAGCCTTCTTCTGATTTCTCGATTGCCGTCTGATGATCAGACAAAATTACACACTTTAACCATGTCCATTTCATGATCACCAACAGTAAAGTTCTCTATTTTTGCTGTCATCACAATCAGAAAATATATATTTTAATACAAACATTAGTGATAGTCCATCCACCAAGGCCTCACTCGTGCAGATTTTTCTTTTCTATCAAGGGATGCATTTCCTCAGGATGCTGATACTAATCTGCTGGGTTTCAAATTCTAAAGGAGGCAAGACCTCACTTTTCTATCTTTGTGCAGAAGATAACTGATGTTAGGCTGAAGGCCAACAGAGCAACTGATCACCCTCTTGAGGGTAGGTATTGCATGCAACATAAGTGACCACACACAAAGAAATTGATTTAGGGCACAGACCCTTTTAGCAAGTTCATTTTAAGATAATAGATTTGGAAGCCTGAATTCGACTACACCATTCCATTCATTTTTATTTGCAACCTGCATGTTTCATTTGCTACTTTCAGTGGGTTCTAATAAAGGCAACATGAGGGTTTGTGTTTTAACTTTTGACTAACAATTACCCTTTTGCCCACCCCCACAGATTTGGGGGAAATGTTTATTTGTATCCTGCTTTTCTTCCAAAATTGGGACTCAACATGGCTCAAGATATGATTTAAAAATACAGCTACAACTGAAACATTCAATGCCATTTGTTATTGAGAAGATTTTGGAACTAGCAGAAATGAATTATTTTGACAGATACACTAGACTGGATAACAATAAATGGGAACCTCTTTATACCTGGATGAAACCTACACCGATTTAAGTAGAATAGATTAGATTAATATGTTATAGAGTATAAGACAAAATGAAATGAATGGAACATACTGTAATAAATCACTCTGGTTGCAACAGATAGAAAAGTAGAAAAAAACAAGAAAATATTTATTAAAAAAATTAAAAATAAAAAGGAACATTCAATGCCATTTGCCATCAAGTCACTTCAGGCTTATGGTAGCCCTAGGAATTAGTGACCTCCAAAAGCTCCTATCGTTAATACATCTGCTCAGGTGTGGTAAACAAAAAAAATCATACTTTATTGAGTTAATCCATCCCATGTTTTCTTTTTCTACCACCTTCAATTTTTCCCAATATTATCTCCTCTCCACCCAGAGTCTTCTCATGATACTCTGCTCACTAAGCCACACTGGCTACCCATTGTGATTCAATCTAGTGTCCACTTACTTCTCTTTCTTGTGTTCCTTGGTATCCATAGAGTGCTCCCTCAATGTAGCATTTCAAATTAATTGGGCTTTTTCCTGTCTGCTTCCTCTACTACCCTGCTTCCCCATCTGTATATTGTAACAAAAAAAATTTTGGCCTTGGTTTCCAGCAACCCATTCTCATGCCAGATTCTTTCCTGGTTATTTCACAGTTCCCCTGCCAAGTCACAGCCTTCTTCTGATTTCTCGATTGCCGTCTGATGATCAGACAAAATTACACACTTTAACCATGTCCATTTCATGATCACCAACAGTAAAGTTCTCTATTTTTGCTGTCATCACAATCTTGGTCTTAATGTTCAGCTGTTACCTTGCTTTTGCAACTTCTTCTTTAACCATAAAATCACAGATGGTTTTCACCTATACAGTAATAAGGCACCATGGGTATATGTTAAATTACTGGTGTTTCTTCTACCAAAAATGTTAAGGTTCCCCTTGACATTTAGTCTCCATTGTGTCCGACTAGGGGGCGGTGCTCATTCCTGTTTCCAAGCCGTAGAGCCAGCATTTGTCTGAAGACAGTTTCCGTGGTCACGTGCCCAGCACGGCTAGACATAGAACTCTATTTCCTTCCCACCGAGGTGGTGCCTATTTATCGACTCGCATTTTTACATGCTTTCGGACTGCTAGGTTGGCAGAAGCTGGGACAAGCGACGGGAGCTCATTCCGTAGATTCACTCTTACGGTTGCTGATCTTCCGACCTTGCAGCACAGAGGCTTCTGCGGTTTAACCCGCAGTGCCACCACGTCCCTTTAGAATGTAAGGTAAAGGTTACCCTTGATAATTTTTGTCCAGTCGTGTTCAACTCTAGGGGGCAATGCTCATCCCCGTTTCCAAGCCATAGAGCCAGCGTTTGTCCGAAGACAATCTTCTGTGGTCACGTGGCCAGTGCGACTTAGACACGGAACGCTGCTACTTCCCACCAAAGTGGTCCCTATTTATCTACTCCCATTTTGCATGCTTTCGAACTGCTAGGTTGGCAAGGAGCTGGGACAAGTGACGGGTGCTTACTCCGTCATGTGGATTCGATCTTACAGCTGAAGATCTACAGACCTTACAGCACAGAGGCCTCTGTGGTTTAACCCGCAGCGCCACCACATCCCTTTAGAATGTAGTACCACCCAAAAATAGAGTTTATGCTCAAAAGCCCCTGCCAGAGTTTCCTTTTGCTGGTGCTGAAAGGATGGCAAATGGTCTGTTAGCTACCTTGGACCCTTTTAGGGAGAAAGGCAGGGTAAAAATGTTTTAAATAAATAAAAGATTGAACAAAGCTAAGTAGTTCAGTGGTTCAGATACCTGCCTAGAGGCAGAGGCTGGGAGTTCGATTCCCCACTAAGCCTCCCTGACAGGAGCTGGACTCAGTAATTCTGCAACTCTAAGACTGAACAAAAGTGGGATGAGGTGTGGGGGGAGTTAAGTGAACAGCCCCAGAAGGTGCTGCTATTCATTTTACTAACATTCATATGTAGTGGCAGTTTTAGAGTTCGGTGCCCTTTACAGTACATTCTGGTGGACAGGGTGGAGCCCTATGTCCACTCTTGTTACAGCTTTCAACACATTCTTTTCTGACCCTTTTGAAAACACCACACTAAAACACAACTACGGAGTAAAGGTCTGCACAATTAAGCAGGCTGTTGCATTTAAACAAAGTGTAAGCACATTATTGGGGGGGGGATTAAACCCTCTTTTCCACCCGCCCACCGCCCTTTAGCAGCCAGCCAGTTGCCAAAACCTGCCCTGAACAAGGCTGACTTTCCCTCCCCGTGGAAGGAACCAGCCTTAGCCTCCCTTGTTGTAGGGAGTTCCACCGTCTGGGAGCAGCCACGGAGAAGGCCCTGCTAACAAGGCTCTCGCTGTTATGGCCCAGAGAGCGCGAAGCCGCGGCTCCCCAAGTCCTTTCCGACGCCAAGGCTGGTGCCCGGGAGTGAATGTGTGTGTGTGGTGGGGGGGAGGAGGGTGCGCTTCAGGGCGCCTCTGAGCAAAGAGGCCGGATTGAAGCAAAACTAGCCCCCGCTCCGTCCGGGGCACTCGGTGCGTCAAGGAGCCTGGGCGTCCCGTCAGCTGGGCGCACGCCCAACAGGCCCGGCTCCAGCTGCTCCAGAAAGAGACCGCCGGCCGCCTTCTTCCTCCGCCACCCCTCGGG